TGATTACTTTATAATCTTTTGTCTCAAGAAAGGGGAAAGGGCTTGAAGACAAGCGGTCTTTTTTTTTTATTAAACCTAAAGGTAAATAGACGGACAAAATGTCCAATGGGCTGAATTATTGGTTAATAAACAAAAGAGAAAACGGGCCTCAAGTCTAGATGGAACATAATGAATCCATAAGCAATGATGGTGAAACAAAAAGCCCAAAACAAAAGAAGTCTTCCCTTGCTATTAGACGATAAAATGGCACCAGGTAATAACACATAACATGAACTGACAATTTTTTAGAACTTATATTAGGTTTGGCAAATATAATCCCAAATAATTGGCATTATATAGCCAAATCCTAAAAAAACTACTCTCTTATATATTCTCTCTCAAACTATTGGCCCCAAACTGTCTGCCCCCCCCCCCCCCCCCCCCCCCCCCGTCGCTCACTTCTCTTCTTGTTCATTGCTTCCCTCCCCCTTTCGCTCCTTGTATTTCTTCTTCTATCTCTTCTCTTTTACTCTCATAGTTTAGCAAAAAATCTTGCAAATTATGTAAAAAAATCAATGGGATGAAAAGCTAAAGTTGATCTCACATCAGAGAAAATCAGAAGCAAAAACTAAGAGAAAAAAAATATATTTCAACTTTATTTTTCTTCTCTCTTCTTTTTTGGGTTGGACTGAACGAGTGGATGTGATTGAAATTGATTAAAAATACCTAAACAAGGCTACATATAAAAATTGAGCAAGATTAGAAGTGATTTAAAATCAAACCTAAAAATACAATTGCGACATGTGTATATCGCGTTGTATATCGCATATACAATACAATATTTTTATGGACGCTCATATGTATCACGTTGTATATCGTATATATAACATAAATTTTCATGGATATACATAGATACACATGATATATATGAGATATCACTGATATACATAGAGATATACACGAGATACAATAGGGGATACACATATGGAGTCGTCTTGAACTTGAGTTTCAATGTGAAATGTGTTATACAAAGAAGGAAAATAAAACTTTAATATACCTTTTTGATATACACATTATTATTATGTTATACACTGTGATATACAAATAATTTAATTATTATTGTGTTATATATATTTGGATATACATATAAAAAAACTAGAAAAATAATTAAAAAATATTTGGGAGTTTTTTCGGATAATACTAAAGGAAATGGAACCTAATTTCTAGGATGATGGTTGCTATGAGAGAAGAGAGAGAGGATTTTAAAAAAAAATTGCTATTTTTAAGGAAAATAATTTTGATGGGGCTTATTTTTAGGATGGTGGTTGAACCATTAGAAGAGAGAGAATAACTTTAGGCTACCATATGCCAAATCCAAAAACGTTGGCTTTTTTATGCCAATTGTTGGATCTAGTTGGCATGCCATGCCAAATCCCCTAAAAAAACCACACACTCAGCTCTCGCAGGTGTGCACATAAGTAGAGGATGAGAGAAGTGTAATGATGCAACATCTTAGAGGGCCTCTTGGCCCATGACGGAGCAAACCTATGCAACTTACAATAATAACCTGTTTGGCCAAGCTTTCTTTTGAGGTATTGGAAGGAAAATAATATTTTTAAGGAGAAGCAGTGTAACGACCGGACTTGTCGTTTTAAGAATTAACGCCTCGTTCGGTGGCTTAAGGTCTCGAACAGTTTCGCAATATGTATTATGACCCGCGGGTGTGGTCGAGTTTGATTTACCGAATATTCGGAATTTAATTAAAAGGGCAATTCTTATTTAGAAGCTTAAATGGAAAGAGTTGACCAGAGAGTTGACTTTTGAGCAAACGACCTTGGAATAGAATTTCGAGGATGGCAATAGCTTCGCATGATGATTTCGGACTTAGGCGTATGTTCGAATTTGGATTTGAAAGTCTGTAGGACAACTCGACACATTTTGACGAACGTTGGAAAATATAAGATTTTGGAAAAGTCCGACCGAAGGGTGAATTTTTGATAACGAGATCGGATTTTAATTTCGAAAATGGGAATAGCTCCATTAAGTCAATTATGACTTGTGTGCAAAATTTGAAGTCATTCCGGATTGATTTGATACGTTTCGGCGTAAAATATAGAAGTTGGAAGATTTAAAACCTTATAATTCGATTCGATGCGCGATTCGGAATTTCAGCATTGTTTGACGTGGTTTGAAGCCTCGACTAAGTTCGTATTGTATTTTGGGACATGTTGGTATATTTGGTTAAAGTACCGAGGGCCTCAGGGGGATTTCAGAAGGTTAACGGAGTTGATTTTTGGATGAGATAGCTGCTGGAATTTGCTGTTGTTTTTGGGCAGCAACTGGTTCTTCACTTCTACAGAAGTTTCATCACAGAAGCGATCTCGCAGAAGCGACTGGGAAGGGGTACTGGACAGAGGTCGCAGGTGCGACGTATTTTGAGCACCTGCGTGATCGCAGAAGCGACCACTGGAACGAGGCAGCTTGGCATGGTTTCGCAAAAGCGGTCGTTTAATCGCAGAAGCGACATCGCGGATGCGCATTTTCTTCTGCAGATGTGAGCTCCTGTTGGGCAATGGACATTGGGACTTCGCAGATGCAGATTTTGGCTCGCAAAAGCGAGTTCGCAGATGCGCAAATCTGTCCGCAGTAGCGGAACTGGGCAGAAACATAAAGGACCAAAAATGGTCATTTCGCCATTTTCGATTGGATTTTTGGAGCTCAGTTTTGAGGTGATTTTGGAGGAGTTATTCACGACTTCGACTTGGGTAAGTATCCTATATCAAAAAGTGATTATATTTCATAAATCAATGATTATATTCATCATTTAATTCGGATTTAAATGGAGGACATCAAGATTTTTGTAAAATCTTCCAAAAATAAAAATTTAAGATTTGGAGGTCGAGTTGTTATTGGAATTCAATAAAATTGGTATGGTTGAACTCGTATCGGAATGGGTGTTCGAATTTCATGAAAATTATGTCGGGTTCCGAGAGGTGGACTCCGGTTGACTTTTGTTGACTTTTTGGAATAAATTTTTTAAGTCGACGCATTATTATCCAGAATTATTTTCGATGAATTTTAAAGAAGTTATACAATTAATTTGGATAGATTTGAGCTGTCCGGAGGTCAATTCAAGAAAGAAGGCTGTCACAACCCAAAATCTCAACCTGTCATGATAGCGCCTATCTCGATACTAGGCAAGCCGATAATCTCAATAAACTATAATTTCTCTCAAGTTTGAAAATATAATATTTAAATATAATACGAAATCCCACAATCTATCTATAATTAAAAAGAGAGGAAGAAGCAACCTCATTAAGCCAAGTGGCATCATCATAATATGCCACTTTAGGACAATTTCCCAAAAAATAGGAGCTACAATTTACCGTTGTTAGGGATAAAACTGCCGTACAATATCCTGGAGAAATTTCAGAATTTTTATTTTTTTTAAAAATTAAACCTTTTAATCCACAATATTATTTAAAAACCTTTTACCTTCCACTTACCCTAAATTATCTCTGCAAAATCACGTTTACCTTTCACTTTTCCTATATTATCTCTGCAAAACCACGATAGTCAGAGTGTCCTCAACTATAACCACGATTAACACTCACGATTGAAATCCACTATACTCAGTAACAACTGCTCAAAACTGCATGTTTATATTTCTTCCACTGATACATGTACTTCAATTCTAATCTTCCTAATGCTATCAAGATTTAAAGAATATATACGGGTTATGCAAAAAATGGCTACTCACATTGATTTCATCAAGGATGTAACAATTTCGAAGATGCAATGGAAGTTGAAAGTTCGGATTGTCCGTCTGTGAAAAGTACCAGATCGTTTTAATTCAGATACTACATTGTCGATTGAATTGGTTCTACAAGATGAAAATGTATTAAAATAAGTTATTTTCTTACTCATTCGTTTTGCTCTCTATTTCTTAAGTTGCAAATTTAAATTTAATAATCCAATTTCTCCAGATATGTTTTGAAAAGATATTCAATGTAAATTGAAAGTATATCACATATAGGTAATAATATGTTCTACCTTTTCTGTTTTTTAATGTTATGAAGTTGGAAATCGAGTTTCTCCATATTGTGCATTACATGTTCTACCTTTTTTGTTTTTTAATGTGATGAAGTTGAAATCTGGAGTTTTTGCTTTGTTTCTTTGACTATTTAATTCTCTATTGTTGAGAAGTAAATTTACTACAATTTAGTATTAGTATAATTTCTAGTATTCAAGTATAGTAATATAAATTTGAAAAGTTAATCTGGAATTATTGTATTACTAAGTCCTTCAAAAACCTTCTGTTATTTAATAAATTTGAAAAGTTAATCTGGGATTATTGTATTACTAAGTCCTTCAAACACTTTCTGTTATTTAATGTAATTTCTTCGTAGGACGATCGGATACATGCTTCTATTGGCAAGTCAATTTTGCATCTTTTCAAAACACAAATAACTGAACTTGGATTATATCATATGGCGAACTTTATCGTTTGTCATAATAAGGAGAAGTTCAACACCACAAAACATAGGTTGAGACTGACGTTTACTCAACGGGCAATAGTGGCCGAAACAACTAATCAACTTTTCCCAATAAATATATTTTATTTGCGACCATATGATGAATTGATAAATAAGGTTGATGTGAACGAGACTGAATTATTCGGTAAAAATAACTTTTATCTTAAATTTCTAATTATGAACTTTTCTATTATTTATTTTAACGAATTCTTTTTCTTTAGATGTGATCTTAGAAATCGTCGGTTTTAGTGAGGTACACATGCACAAACAAGGTGGAATTTCTAGGAAGTTAATGGATATTGAACTAGAAGATGATGAGTAAGAATAAACATTCATCTACTAATTAAGGATGGATTTGATAATTACATATGATAAAATTATATGTTTATTTCTATGTGGCAGGAGTAAGAAGTTGTCTGCTACATTCTGGGGCGAGTTTGTTGATGAAATTGTACCTCACCTGCTAAGTTCTAATAGCCAGCCTATTATTGTTGTGATGCTGCTCATAAAAGCCCATAAATTTCAAGGTAAAATACAATTATTCAATTTGACATTACTGTGTGAAAGTTATTCATTATATCTTACATATACGTTGTTTTGTAGATTCATATTCTGTGCGCAATACTTGGAATGTATCAAAGCTGTGGATTAATCCAAATTTTTCTCAATCTGACGAGTTTAAAACACGGTTCAATATATACATTTATATATATATATATATATATATATATAAAAATTCACTGCATCTATAGTCAAATAAAATTTTCCAACTATACATTTAACTGTTTTAGTCATTCATACTCAAGAATGACTACGACTGGTATTTTTACTCAAGAATACTCAACTATACATCTATACTCAAGAATAACTATGACTGGTATTTTTACTATAACATTTGTGTGTGCTGGTGTGATGACTCATTTTGTTCCTGCATATCTTTCTTCTACTTTGATTTGCTATTTATTATTAATTGTTTTGACAAAAATGAAGAAAATGAATAGCTTATGCAGCCTCTAACAATTTATTGGACCAGTCAGTATGTAAGTGACATTTTATTTGGGAGTTCAAAATGTCAAGTGTGTCACGAGGTGGTAGTGTTTCTGGTGTCCCTGACGAAAAAGTATTTTTTTTTTCTCAACTATTAACAGCGGTGATTCATGGAAGCTGTATAGAATTTGTCTTTACTTGCATCCATATTCAATCATTGTACTCTTTGGCTGAGGTATAAAAGTTGTTAATCCAAAAGGAAAAAGTAATATAACAGGGAAAATGCTACATAAGGTAATTTTGAATCGAGCAATGTCATTGTATAGCCTTCAGTTTTATATTTTTGTGAAACTTTGATAGTGAAAATTCTGATAAGAAAAAATAATTAGTAGTGAATATTTATTTGAAGTTTCTATTTGTTCTGCTCATTGTATATTATTAGTTTGAGATGAGTTTATATGGTAAGTGAGGACACATATAATCAACTTCAACTTGCTTGGAATTGAGAAATAGTAGTTGTTGTATGAGTTCTTCATCCTCAATTGTTCTTTTTAAGCCACTCATCTCTTTTTACCTACCTTTTGTTTTTTATCTTCCAGAAAAATAGATTAATTCTTACCTTAATTTTTGTTTTCAATTTGTTTAAGCACATATCTTTATATTACATTTTAGATTTTACTATCTAGTTTCATCTTTTTCCCTCGACAGTTCTGCAAAATTAAAAATAACTTTGTGGGAAGAATTTGGAGAAAAGTTTAACCTTATCAATACGATGGCTCTGGCCCTTACATTGTCATATTCATTAATACAACAGTTAAAGAATTCTGTGGTAATTGGTTTATATTTACTGATCATTGCTACTTATTTTACTACTTATGTACTGAATATACACTAAAGTTTGGTTTTTATTACATTCACTATTAATAGGTGAGTTTACTTTCACCACCACATCTGCAATCAAAATATATGTAATTCTTCAAATAGATTACATATCATCGTTGAGTTGTCTTTGCCTATTGCTCAGTCAAACTAACCTCATCTCTCTTCCTATCAACTCCAGATTAGCACTTAAGTTGCCACTTCTTTGCGGCATGCATGTTGACATCTCTACATGTTCAGGTATTTAACAATAAGTTAAGGTCTATATTACGAAAAACTATCCCTTCTTTTAAATTAAGTTCATTATTAATCCATCCCGTTTTATACTGTCATTTTATGAAGGACTACCTCCTACGTCAACAACAACAGAAGTTTCCTTTGGAATAAAAAAGAATTCAATTATTGCTGGTATGAAGTTCTTCAACTGTCTTATTTATGGTTATATTATGTAATAAATAGCATGCGCAAATCCATATCTCATTGTTACTTCTCATAAATTTGTATAATTTTTGATATGCATCTTCATCAAGATATTCTTTTACACTCATTTCTGAATTTCTGCCCTTATGTTTTTACAGCTTTGAACGTCTTCACTAAAAAAATAACATCTCTTTGCACAACAGTTGAAACCATGATCCGCTTGTGCCATTAGAAAGAGGACTTCTGACACCACAATATATACAAAAATCAGATCCTAAGTCTTTGTAGATTAATACGAATATGCTTTTGAAGTCAGTTCGTATTTCCTGTCATTCTACTTTTTACAGTTTTGCTCGTCCTCACTAAAAAATTCATATTTCTTTGCAGACACGTCGAAATGTCGATCCACTTGTGCCGTTGGAATAATAACTTCTGCAACTAAAATAATTCTAGAAATCAACTCTAGATTATTAATACATTTATACATATAGGCATTTGAATTTAGTTCTAAATATCTGCTATTGTGCTTTCTACAGCTTTGTGCATCCTAACTAAAAAAATCATAAATTTTCGCAGACACATTGAAACCACGATCTGTTTTTATCGTTGGAAAGAGAATTTCTGAAACTATGATACAAACAAGAGTCAGGTCCATATTACTTTTATTAATACATAAATTCTATTGAATACTGTTCTAAATCTATATCGTTCTGTTTTTCACAGCTTTTCGCGCTGTGATAAAAAAATTATATTACTCTACAGGAACGTTGAAACCACGATCCGCTTGAACCTTTCAAAATGAAGGCCTATGGAACTACAATATATTCAAAAAGCAGGTCCATATTCTTTGTATATTTATACAGATATATTTTTAACTCAACTTTGAATTTCTTACATTCTGCTTTTCACAACTTTGTGCATTGTGAACGGAAATTTTTATTTTGCTGCTGCATCGTCGGTTTTTGGCAACGTAGTATTATTTATTTTAACACTCCTATTTTCTTTTCGTTCGCAGTTCTAGAAACTTACATCTTAAATTTGATATAATGCTACTGNTTTTCTTTTCGCTCGTAGTTCTAGAGACTTACATCTTAATTTCGATATAATGCTACTATGGTGCACTTCAAACATATTACGTATGATATAATAGATTCAAACGCCATTCAAATGAAAGTCAATTCTCCATTGGTTGCTGCTTTCCCGCTAATGACGAATCTATTGACTATTCGCTTTACCTTTTAGATTGCTCAATGAAGGAGGCATTTGATGTTCTCGAAGTTATCTCGTGCAAGGCTACCAACATGAAGCATAGCCTGTTTGAAATTATCGACTCATGATAAGATATTTGAATCTGCTAGCCCAAAAGTGAAGATCAACCCCATGAAGTCAAGTAATTTATGAATACCAATACTTTTTATTTTTGAGGTGTGAAACAAATCATCGATAACAGTTGTGATAAGGTTCATATTAATCGACTAATTTTGGTGCACTCAATTGAACTATTTTTCTATTATTGGATTTTTTACTTAGGTTCTAAAGATTATACCTTATGAAGTAAGAATTTCGTGTTTTCAATAATTGTTGTTAATCTTAAAAATGTTGTGCTGATCTTGACATAATTATTTCAATGAAACAATGTGGACATTAAATATTTTTATGTAATTATTTTATGTTAGTTTTGAAAATATTATGTCAATACTTATTGGTTGGTGCTGACATTCTTTAAAGTTAAGTTCATTACTAATTCATCCCATTTTATCAGTTTCTGAAGGATTGCCTCCTAGATCATCCAACACCACAAGTTTTCTTAGGAACAAAAAAGCAATATAAGTGTTGCCGGTATGAATTTCTTAAACTGTCTTTTTACTGGTTCTATTATGTATAGCATGCAGAAATTCATATTCTCCAAAGTTTTAACAGTCAAAGTATCAATGCACCTGTTCAATATTGTTTCCCTTTTATCTTGCATTTCAGCTTCGCCTATGGAGACAGTATCACCTAAGACATCCAATGTTTTGGGATTTTTGGCTTTCTCAATATTTCTACTGTAAACTTCAATACAAAGGAGCGTTTGATGATCACAGTGCTAACTTCTTGGGGTGAATTATACTAGCTCTAGCTGTTCGGCATTGTTTATCAAGTCATTATTTCACTAAAGTTTAGCTAAAACCTCAGGCAATTGTCACACCCCTTTTCTACCCCCACAAAGATAAATATGTATTATGGATTATGGGTTAAAGAGTTTTTTCAATTAAAGTGACAAATTTGAGTAGGGGTTATTTTATTTATAGAGTCGCCACTTGAAATTGATTTTTGGTGTTCCAAGTCACCTTTTATTTGAATCCCTAGTCAAAGGAAGGTTTGACTCTATTATTATTGGTCTGCAAAAACAAAGTCCAAGTAAGGAATTCTGTTGACCGGAGAGAAGGTGTGAGGCATTCTCCGAGTCCCGTGGTTCTAGCACGGTTACTTTATTTGACTATATTTGGCTTAATTATCTGATTTATTGCATGTTTAAAACCTATTGTGCATTTTATCTTTTAACCGCTTTTAGTGTTTATGAAATTTGTTTGAACAAGTCGCGATGTCGCGCGCTCGTTTGTTTTTATACACATTGCGAATCGCGCCACGTGAAACGCACCCGCGATTTACAACATGTTTATTCTTATTATTGTTTGAAATTGTGGTCGAGTTGCATGAAATGCACACTTGAATTGGGGTTTACATCTCGTGACCATGCCACGAGAACCGTACCCATGGCCACGATGATTTATTAATCGCGCTTAAAGCAATGCTACTAGCGGTTTAAATAAAATAGAGTTGTGAACATGTAATACTCAAATTTCGGTTCTATTCCCTTTCAATCCCAACCCATGGCCCCCAACATACATCATTCAAATAATTTCATACCCAACTATACTGATAAGCAAAATAAAGCATCCGACAAAAGACATTTGAACATTCAAGGAAGATAGGGAGAAGATTAGAATAATACAATAGCAGCAAAGTGAAGAAACGTGAATCAAGGCAATGAGAAAGAGCCATTCAAATATTTTTACCCTCACTCTTCAATTCTTTCCTAGTTTGACGTGCCAGATTTCTAATATGTAATTATGCACTAATCACTCCACTACTTATCAAATTGTCCCAACATAGCACTAAAATAATTTGTTTATTCAATATCACAATAAGGCGATTAAATGAAACCTATCACATGGGATCATTAAACAAAATAACTGAATGCACGTTGATCTTACAAAAAAAAAAATTATTAATTTTTCACCCAAGCACAACTTCAAGATTCAAGCACAACAAAGAATTATGTCATTCATTTTGCACGCTCAAATTCATTCGTGGACAGAGTATTCAACAAACGAAATTGAGCAGACAAATCAGAGGGTCGATTCACATTAACTAAATAAAATGAAGAAGATAAAAGTAAGAGTGAACCTGATAAGCCAAAATCTTTTCAATAATGAAGAAAAATCAAGAGGTACAGCAACTCCGATTCTGAAAACTCAACTGAGAAAAAACAGCAGCAAATTTGATCTGACAACCGTGATCGAGAACGACAACCTCACTGTTAAACGAGGTCTCTTTAATAGCAGAAATTGAGAAGAATCAGTTACATATTCCGACTCTAAAACTCAGCCAGAAGATGACAGCAACTAATTCAACACTGGAATCGCGGACCAAAAACCTCGCAAGAACCTTTGTGCGGCTTGACTGGAGAAACCTCGACTCAATAGGAAATGGAGCTTTCGAGAAACGAAATTGCGATTAGAGCTCGGCAACTATGGAGTTTCGGAATTGGTGGTTGATTAGCGGGTGGCTAACTCAATTTTCCAGCTCGATTTGCCGGAGAAATTGGGTGTTTGGAGCTGCTTTTGCGAGGAAGAAGAGGAAAAAGTTCGAGTTCCCTTTTAGGGTGGTCTGCGACTGATTTCAAAAAAAACGGGGGAGGGTTCTGTGATCTTCTTCTTTTTCTTTGTGTGTTATGTGTGTGTTTTATAGCTGAAAATGAGGTATTGGATTTGTGACAGGGGACAAACATGGGAGACAAGGATTGGGGAACAATGGAGAGAGTAGGGAGCAAAGTGTGGGGGGACAAGCATGGGAGACAAGGAGTATGGAACAATGGAGAGTGGAGTAGGGAGCAAAGTGTAGGGGAGACAAAGCATGTGGGACAAGTATGGGGGACAAAAAAAAGTTGAGTGGGGACACGCCTGGGAAAGCGGGAAATATTCAAGCACGGTCAAAAATTAAGTACTCACAGCATGCCCCTCTTTGCTTGGAAACATTAAAAGTTTTCAGGCAAAGATTAAGTGAGCCGTGTGACTAAGTTTTGACCATATCGTTATTCAAAAGAGGAAGAAAATAAAAGAAAAAGGTACAACCGAGTCCTGATTTTGGACAGCCTACATATCCCGGATTATAAGGGAATCAGGTCGCGTGTAGTTCAAGAAAATTGATGGAATAATGAGTTGGATAGACGAGTGAGGTTCCGTCGAGGCTCCGGTCAGTGGTCTTGCTATTACATCAAAATTGAAAGAAACTAAACAAGCCTATCAACTATGAGTTACAAGATTCCTATCTATAAGTCTTTTGAAGCTTGATCTTGAATCTTGACTGGTTGTTCATGCAAGCTCTGATCTGAACCTTGATGCTTGCTAGCTGTAAGTGCTAGTTCATTCTTCTACGGTTTCTTCTGAGCAAAACGGGAAATGTGAAGCTCGTAACTTCAGTCATGTCTTGAGCAGTCCATATCATTTCCATCTGCTTTTGCATTTGGATTCACTTTTTTTTATTTTCTTTTCTTTATTTTGGATTCAAACTTCTTTTTTTGTTCATCTCGAACCTTGTGCCTCGAGGTATAACCTGCTCAGACATCACAACAAATAAATGAACGAAATTTTTCTGCCCCAATTTTTACTAGAAAAATTTCGTGAGTTATTGTAACAAAATTCTAAACTACTTCTTTATTGAAAGCAAATAA